AGTGTTGGGATCTGATCTGATAGTTTCAAGAATTTTGTTGCCAAGCCACCTTGAACTAATCCTAGTTTTCTCAGACTGGGTGGGACATGTGTGCTCCAACCCCATCTTGTTAATGCAGAAAGTGGCCTCATTTCTTATCTTTGCTGCTACCATGTAGAACTGATAACCATATCCATCACAGCTAACTATTATCCTATCACTGCAATTTCTGTGATATTTGTATCTTCTAAGTTGTTTCACATGCAAATTGACAAGAGCCTCTCTGAATTGGTAAACATCTTTGAAACAGAGCTTTAACTGGAATTGTTGTTCTGGATGCATCCTGTCCTCATCGTACCAGACCCTAGGTGGTCTTTTCTTAGCTCTGCTCCTTCTGCCAGAGCTAATAACAAAGGACATTGGTTCATTGCCATCATCATCTGCTTCAAAGCCTGTATCTTCCTCTTCTGAAGATGGAAACCAAACAGGATTAATGGTTGGACCAGCACTAGAGTGGGACCTACTTGTAGGACCTCGCCTCTTTGCCTTCTTCTTAACAGGCTCAGGAACTGGGATCTCTTGGGCCTCCTCATCATCTTCTTCCTGGTCCATGTCATATATATCTTCAGGATCTGTGTCCCCCTCACAGTGTGTACTAGACATGTATTCAACTCTCTTCCTCTTATTTCAGCAATAGTTTCATCTAGCTCAGGTTCCTCTTTCCTCCTGTTTGCACTCTGTTATTCCACATACTGCACTTAATCTGAGTCATCTTCTTCTTCTCCTGCATCTAAGAGGTCCACATCAACTACAAAATCTTCATCACTACTTGAACCTTCATCATCATCTGTGTCCATGCCTACAGGAATTTCTTCCTCACTAACTGCATTGTCCTCCTCATCTGTATCAAACTGAAAATCTGCATAATTGACACTTACTTCAGTGTTAAGCTGTGTCCCAAGACGTAACTGACAGTTATGAGGAACTGATTTGAGTGGCAAAAAATTTACACTTTCCTGTGTACCAATTGTTTTGTGCACAACACCTGATTCAGCAACAGCAAAAACAACAGGTGGCTCTACATCTATTTGTTGTGCATCTTCATCTTCTCTAACTGGTGGTTCAATAACTACCTTTCCCTTTCTAATTGTCAGTGCCAATGTCTGGGTGCTCTCAAATTGTCTCAGCGTGTGAACTACTTCAATGTTGTCTTTGATGACACAAACACCTTGCAGCCCTATATCTTCCTCTTTCAAGTAGCAAAGACTGTCATCCTTACAATATCCATTGCTGACCATTACATTGACCAAACTACCATAAGTGATTTCTTTTTCACACATCTTAACAAGAGCATACTTATTCCCAGGAAACTGGAAGTAGATTGACCATAAATCTTCAGGCCTAAAATAGACATACAAATGAATATTAACAAGTCAATTGTACTAACATAACTAACCATTACAATGTACTATTTAAAAAATTCAGAACAATAAATTAGTACTAACATTACTAGCATAGACAAATGAATATCTTCAAGCCTAATATAGCTCACCATTATAATGCAGCGTAAGCAAAATTACCAAGTCAATTATAGTAACAAGACAACAACATAAATGAACACTACAGTGTGATTTTCTCCAAAAATTCAGAACCATTATGATTTTCTACAAATATTCAGGACTACAGTTCATTACAAATGACTAACAAATCAAGTATTCAGACCTACAATCTTTGTTGATGCTCTAAAACATATCCAATAATAAGGAATGATTGAAAGGACACATTTTCAAAGATTCAGATTACCTAGCTGAAGATGGGGCGAACGGGAGCACATCCTCGGGACCAATCTGTGAAGCTGCTTCCTCGGTACAAGGCTCCAGCGACAGGACCGCCGCCGCGGCCGACTCTGGATCTAGGTCACAGCCGCCATCGATGTGGGGGCCGATGACTCTGCATTGCGAGCGCAGCCGCTTCTGCCCTGAAGTAGTACCACTGCCCTCGCCGTTGAGTGCGCCGTCGCCGCTTCCTTCGACTCCATGTGCGCCGTCGCCGCTGGAGCTGGTTGCCATCGGAGTGGGGATGGACTGAATCGAGGGGTGGGGTGGACTGAATCGACTGGCTGGGGAATGGGTTGACCTAGTACACGGGCGTGCGAAAACGGCCGTCTCTCGCCGTCTAACGGCGTCCGTCAACACACGCCACGTCAGCCTGACATGCGGGACCCACCTGTCGGATTCGCTGTTTTCTGGCCTAAAACACAGAATCAGTGCTCCGCGTTACAGATTAGCCCCATTGTTGTTAGTTTTTTGTGCCCTACCTCAAATGTGTTACTGATCTGTTACCCTGGCCCATAATGTGGTGGTTTGGGGTAAATAACTCTCCTCCGCCACTGAGTTAGTCTGGTCAATTTTGGAGGCAACCTTGCACGCTGCTCTTTCTACTCTGTTTGTAATGGCAAATATATATTTGTGCTTTCCAAAAAGAATGAAGTGGAATCATACAATGGCCTGTGGAAGGCGTACTGTATTACTGAAAGCATGTGTTCACCAGCTGCATAATGGGGTAGAACTTATATATTTCAACAAATTGTTGTTCCCGATGGAATGAACCAAATCCAAATATTCTCAACCTTTTCTGTATCAAAATACAAGTTCAGATAATCTGCAACGATTTACCCAGCCCTACCCCCGTTTCTTGAAAGTAAGAATGACGATAACAATGACGATAATAGTAAGCAGAAGCAAGAACAGAAACAACAGTAGATAGAAAGCCATGTGCTGCTGGTGCTGGTGGTGCTGCTGCTGACGCATCAACGCCATGTGCTGCTGCTGCTGCAGCGCAATGGAGTTTTGTGCCACCGCAGCAACCTGCAGCACCTCCCGTCCGGACAGCGCGCTGCCCTCACCTCCATGACCACCCTGTAGGGGGAATGGCACCGACCACGGCCTAACGTCCATTGTGTTAGGATACCTCATCATGACCTGCTCAGGAAGCATTCCATTTCCAGCCATTGGCCTATGGTTGGCGATGGTTGGGACGCTGGTTATGTTGCCCATCTTCCCCTGACTCGGCTGGTTCCTGCTGATTGGAGATATTTCTCCCTTGACTAAGTTAGTCCTCCTGTCTTGATCGCCGCCTCCAGCATTTGCTGGCCTGGCCTTGTCGACGAGGCCGCGGTTATGACGCCTCCATTGCTGGGAAACTCTCCTAGGGTCATCCACGCAGAAACATTCAGGGTCGTCATCGGAGTCATCATACAAATCATCGGATGTGTCGCTGTGGTCGTATGGATCCCCCATTCGTTGTGCCGATGGTTGCATGACCTCAAACGGTGGCGGCATTGGTTTAATAATAACTGGCTGTAGAAGAGCTGGCGGCATCTTGAGGCCCGCAGGCCCCTGTGGCGTAGGATCCATCTTATTGAGTTCCCTTTTGACCTTTTCACCTTCTTGGTTGTCCACACAAGGCATTGATGGAGGAAACTCCTTCATGGTGGATGCGCCACTTACCTACAAGGAAGAAGAAACTGCTGGATTTCAAAGGATTCATTTGCACAACTTTAATTAACACTTATCTCCTAGCAGTGAAAAGTACATCAATTATTATTTTTAAAACCGGTAAGAAAAAGTACATCCCCGTTTACATATAATCCAGCTTTTCTACTCCAGTTCATTGCAGGATCATACCTGCTGTATTGAAGACCCTGGGTCATCTCTTGATTCTTCAGCACTGCCCATCTCATTCAGCTTATGAATTATCTCGTCTATTGAAGGTCTTTTGTGTTGATCAGTGTCCACACATTTTCGAGCTATCTCAATGCAGCACTCCATTTGAGGGCTCTTCACGTCTATTGATTTATGCCACTGCAAAAGTTTAGACATATAGTAAGAGACGACAATTTTTTTATGATAACGAAGGATCCCTCTGCATCACGTGATGCACACATCCATATTTAGGATGACATTAAGGTAGCTATGCTATGTAATTCCTGAGTTTGTAGTGGCCTGTAGCTTGTTATCCTCTTTTTTTCTTCATTTTGCCTTCAATCTGAACGTTTGTGATAAATGGTGGATGTGTGCATTATCAGATGTAAAGGCCAAGGGAAGTTTTTTTTTCATTATCTGAAAAACACACATAAGCTAGGATACATTTTTTGTTTCATTATCTAAAAAGTAAGTAAACTAAGATGTTGCTACACCCATCAAGATTCTACCTTGGGGAATGAGTTTGTTTGATACAATATTGCTCTCCCCATTGCAAAATATATTGCACGGTCTCTGACATGTAACATTTGCAGGTTACTTTTGAAATATATATAAGTACGAAATATACATCACATGTATTAAGCCACACATTGCATGCCACATCTAATAAACTAAACTCTTCACGTAACAAATATTTTTAAAATTATTAATCAATGTTAGAGAAATTCAACTACATGTTCTTAAATTTCACAAACTTTTGAATGATAACTCCAGAAGAATTGTTGTATAGAGTATCAAGTTTTTTCTAAAAATTAGTTGTTTGCAGAGTTATACATGTTTTAAAATTCCTAGAAGGAAAGAACATTGCTTCAGAGACTTTGGATGCTACATAGGAGAAGCAGTTCTATGGTGAAAATTGTGAATCACAGCAAGTGTTTATCAGCATCCTACTACTCAAGCGCACACAAATTAAAACAAAAGGAGATGGTAAAGTAACGGTATTCCTTTGTATGGCGTTACAACCATCTTTCTATATAGTATTTGAAGTAAGGTGGTAGTACAGTGAGTTCGATCGGCAATAATAGAACGACATTGAAAGTGAACAGCGTCTCTTTAATTATTTGCATCCTTCAATACTTAGTTTGTAAAGTTCTCTGCGATTGAATAGGATTTGACAGTATGATATATTTTTCATGAAAGGCAAAAGCATTTTGCTGCTTGCACTGAATGTGTGGCTTGTGATTAGTATTTTCTTGGTAATGATATATAGTATGAGACGTAATACGCCAAAGGCTAACGTAATTCAACAAAACCAACCTAAATGGTACAGTAAACTGTCCTTACATTTTCAAAATCGTAGTTGTCACTCCCTGTTAACAGCTTTATGAATACAATGCCGAAACTGAATATGTCTGACTTGAATGATATTTCACCCTTGTCTATGATTTCTGGTGCAATATATCCCCTGCATCAGCATGACAACATGATAAAGCAGCACAAACTTGGTATCAACATGAAAAGGATGGAGTCTTAACAAGCTCAGTTTACCTTGTGCCAGGAGTGCTTTTTGTGAAAATTCTGGACTGTCCTTCATGAAACCATCTTGACAAGCCAAAGTCGGTAATTTTGGGTTCCATGTAAGCATCCAGCAGAACATTTTCAGGTTTGAGGTCCAGATGATTAATGCGTTCTTTGTGTAGATATTGCAAACCATGGCAGATTCCCTTGATCATTTGATATCGCCTTGTCCATTCAATTGTTTCCTCTGTAAAACAAACATAAGTACAATCAAATTCAGCAGCGTATTTGTCCTTGATCTCCATGAGTTCTGCAGGACTATCAACCGCCTTTTGTGAAAGAGAGGATTGAGTTTTTCAAGGGAGCTTAATTGCTAAGCTCGATCACGCAGTATGAATAACCAGCTAGTAGTAACATTTAAAGGAAAACCAGGGTATAAAGTTGCGAGGTCTGTACCTGTAAGATAAAGCTGAAGGCTTCCGTTAGGAGCGTAGTCAAAGACGAGCAACCTTTGCCGTACCTCTGCCATAACTTTTTTTCCGTCGTGTTCCATCAGTTCCCCTTGTGTATCTGAACAATAGCCGAGGAATCTCACTATATTGTTGTGCTTTACCCTCATTAGACAGTGGACCTCATCCTGAAATAACTGATCCGAAAAATCTTGCGATATGGAAAGCTTCTTGACAGCAACCTTGCCACTTGGAAGGTCTCCCTGTTTTACGTAGTATTTTGTTAATTATTGGACCGGGAAAATATAGGGAGAAAAAGAAAGATGCCTTACCAGGTAAACAACTCCAAACCCACCACGACCAATTTCTCGGGAGAAATCGCCGGTAATGGACTTTATGAGTGAATATGGTAGCCTGGTCGGCTCTGCACTTTCATCACCCATTATGCGCTCCAGCGCTCCAAATTCAGCTTCTTGATCCGCCATTTCTGCTACACTGGGAGATAAAAAACCGAGTTAATACGACCAGCAACCCGGCTGGCATACACTGAGCTCTCCCTCTCACTGCAATAACTCCTGATCTGATGATGATCTACAAAGAAACCCCTGATCTCGAGATTTTTAGATCAAAGGTTCATGAACATTTAGAAATCATGTCGGGAGGTCAGTCACTAACCAGCTGGAGATAGATAGGTCCAAGGAGATCGGCCAGCCGAACTGGTTGCTCCTCCCCGGAGACGTGAAACCCTGGCTGGCTTTAGATCTGGAGTCTGGGCTGGGAAGGGGAACGGGAACGGGAACGAACACTCATTTCTTCCTTATCTCTGTACGCGTGAGTCAACAGTCTCTACGTGTGAGTCAACGGTCCACGCGGGTTCCCTTTTTAGCAGGATGATGAATGATCAGGCTGGTCGTAATGATAGTATCATAGCTAGTATCTTGCATGCCAACTAGACAATTTTGATAAGATGTTATGAAATTAAATAAAAAAAGGATCGAATATCATATTATGATACCATATCATAACAAATATTATGCTACTATGTGTCATACATGGCAATAAATAAAATACTACATCTCTATCTCTATCTCTATCTCTATCTCTACCTATATATATATATATATATATATACTAGCAAAAATGCCCGTGCGTTGCAACGGGAGAAAAAAAAACTCTCTCTAATCCAATAAAGCCATGGTTCATATTTCAATTAAGGTGCATCACCACAGATCACCCAGGGCTGATGCTTGGATTATATCCAAGGCCCATCTCATGCCATGATTTATCAAGGGGCTTAGTATTGCCAAAGAATGCCATCAGCCCTGATGGTACAACAGATGTTGGATCACGGAATCCCCCATCCTCATTCTGCCATGAGAATATTGAGGCATTCCTATAAGCATGTGATCTGTAAAATTTCCCTATCAACTAATAATATGAGAAAAAAGCAATATGTAAAATGCAACTAAATCAATAAGACATATGATTAAATGACATGAAAGAGGTTATTGGAACCATGTGCTCTTGTGAAGTGAATTCTTCAAATCTTTCCCTAATAATAAAGCAAATAGTGTTTCTGGTCGTCCGTCAGAAAAATTGCCCCCAAAGTTCGCACTAATTACCCACTATGCCATCGGTAAGTGAGAAAAAACTGTTCACTGCGGCTGCATCCGCCTCGCGTCTGGTTCATATAGGATGCCACACTCTAATATAAAACAAGCATATGTCCTACCCGGGTGGTTGGAGCTTGTGTCCTCCCTTCTTTTTTTTCTTCCTTTCCTTTTTGGCTGCACAACGTGACCGTTCTTCCTTTCCTTTTTGGCTGCTCGACCCAACATGTTTTTTCTCTTTGTTCAATTTCTTTTTTCAAATTCAAATATTTTAAAAATAGTGGTATCTCTCAAATCCTAACTTCAAATCTAACATGTTTTATATGAAAATTTCTCAGAAAAATGTGTAGATTTTAAATATGCTATTATCTTCCAGGTTAATCATTTTTAAAATTATGTTTAGGATGCATCATTGTTTGATGCTCACGAAAGTTATTACAGATGAAATATAATATTCCAAATGTTAGTCACCATAAAAATGATTCCATTTCCATCTCAAAAAAATGATTCCATTTAAAAAATATTCTAACAAATTAGGAAAAAAATCCTTCTCAAATTAAATATATATTCATGTTTTTCTGAACAACAAAAATAAAAATGATTGAAAAACTCTTTCATCGAAGAGCTGAAATGGGTCATGACAAACATGTCTACGATACGTCCAAATTCCATAGTCCAAAAAGAAATACTTAATGTAGCTTTATTTCTGACGTTTGAAAAAAATGAATTAAATAAGTGTTACATAATTACATTGAAGATTGTGATATGTTTTTTTGTCCCGTTGCAACGCACGGGCCCTTTTGCAATAGTATTTTATTTTTGGAGACTCATTCATGTTTAATTTATTGACAGAAACCAAACCCGTTTAAAAATTGCATCACTCGTAAATGCAATAGTTAGATGGCAGGACCGAGAAGTCGCCGCGTCTTGGATTCACCAGCGTCTGTGTGCACCGCGCCTTCTCATTTTATTCCAACGAATGGAGTGATTTTGTGTGCACTCAGCCTGCTGAACAACATAACCACCAGATAGTTTAATTATTGCTCATTGTCATAGCTGAAAATTTGTCATATTCCCAACCCCACTCTGTTTCGAACAAGTCTCTCTCTCTCCCTATCCAGTCACTTCTATTTTCTAACTAATTTTCATTTTATCTGCCTTAAATTAGTGTGAAAAGCCCAGCAAATTCATTCAATCTCCAATCCTCCCTGACCTGGATCAAGCCCAAGGCGAGAACTTTCCTCTCGCCTCTCGGCATCAATGCAATTAGATTTCATTGCTGCATGCCTATGGCTCAAACCCAAGAATAGCCATG